TGCCTTCGTTAATAAGGAGAGAGAGTATGAGAGAGAACAATTAAATTATTAAAAGAAAGAAAAGTGGGAGGGAGAGAGAGTGTGAGTTGGAGACAATAAATATGGGTAAAATAGGAAATCAACACAAAAAAGTAGAGACAACTTTTAAGTGTCTCTTATATATAAGAACATGCCATAAGCATCAAATGTCTATTATAATAAGGAACGGACGGAGTATTAAAAAAAAAGTCCTGCCATTAATCATTTATAATTAGTACGATTTATATAAGCTTCTTAAAATATATACAGAGAGAGAGAGAGACTCACAGCCCCATGGTTTTGGAAACAATTTAAGGACTTGAAAATTTGAACATGTTGAGCACCAAAATGCAAAATTTTTTTTTTTTTTTTTTTGTGGGGGGTTCCAAAGACAATGGATGAGAACATCTGGATACGGATGGAGCGGCAATGATAAACATGATCCGGAGCTTCTAGTGGGTGTCTCCCTCATTAAAGTAACGAAGATGACCCACTCACCCGACCCCACCAAAGATATCGTTGCTATTTATTGATTTCAGATGGCCAGTGTGGTTGGACTTGGACCTCTCGATCTAGCACTTGAGAATTAGGACCATCCTTGAAAATTACTTTCATTCTTTTTATCTCTTATAGTTGATTTAATATACTAATTTTTGTTTTTAATATAAAAATTGGTTTAATATTTAATTTGATTTTAAATATAAGATTTCAATCTATTTTATTTTTTTATATTTTTTTATTATTTTTAAATTAATTCTTATAATAGTTTTTTTTAGTCAAGTAATCCTTATAGTAGTAGCATATATTAAAAGTTTTATTAAATAATAGTTTTAGCTAATACGTAGGATTAACAAAAATATTTAAAGAAATAACACATATTTATTACAAATAACTAACTTAATAAACTTTCTTAGTTTAATCAAATTAATCAATTAATTTTTATATTAAGAACAGGAAGTAGTATCATCATTTTGTATTTTTAATATAAAAGTTATTTAACTAATTTAGTTGGGTTATTAATTCAAATAAATTACTACCTCCAGTCTTTAATATAAGAGTTAGTTGATTAATTTGAATATATTAATAAAATTAGTTAAGTTAATTATTTGTTAAAAAAATAGGTGTTATATTTTCTAAAATATCCTTATTAATTAAGTGCATTAACTAGAATTATTATTATTACAAGAAAAATCTTTAAAAAATGGATAAATATGAAAAACAAAATGGATGAAAGGAGTGTTTGGCTTTCTCCCCAAACCATGGTTTGGAAAAAAATTTGCCAAACACTCCTCAAAAATTTCAAACCATGGTTTTGCCCCCCAAAACCTTGGTTTTGGATAAAGCGATAGAGGAGCTGCTTCTGCTTGAAATAATTAAACATTGGTGGTGGGCCCATGGTGTGATTCTTTAATCTTGTGAAAAAAAAATTATGGGATTTCTTCATCTTTAAAATCTTTAAGAAATAATCATATTTTTTTGTTGGCAAAATAAATTATTTTACAAAAAACATATTTACTTATTTTATTAATATATATATACGTTTAATTTTTTTATTTATATTATTTATGTCTTATTTATGTTGCCAAAATATATATTATTAACAAATTTATTACTTCAAGTAAACATATATTATGAAATATATCTTATATGTAATTATCATTTAAATTTATGTCATTTTTAGTAATTTCTACATATAAAAAAAACACTTATGACAACAACTATCCAAACACTTTCACTTTATCAGAATCACTTTTTCAGAAAATCTATTCTTTCAAAATCTATTCTCTACAGAATCTATTCTCTAAAAGCTATTCTTCAAATCATGGTTTGGCTTCATCCAAACACCCCCGAAGTCTTATATTTAAAATTAAAATAAAAGTCAAAAGAGCTTTTATATTAAGGACTAGAATAGTAGTTAATTAATATGATACACAAAGCATATTAAAATGTTATATTTAGGGTGAAATTTATCATCCGAATAGCTCATTTACTATAAATGAGAGGGAGTACATGATAATGTGTAACTAACCCCACATCTTATCTTCTATTTTCCGGATTAGTTCAACAACCTTTCCATCCAACTTTCAACATAAAAGGGTGTTTCAATTTCTGCAGCTGGAATTTGGAAAGGCCGATAGATTATAGCAGAATAATAAAATTTTCTTTCAATATGGCGATATACAATTTCCTTATGGAAATTGACACCGGGGATCTCTTAAATAGAAACAATGATATATCCATCTTGTGGGGCCTTGGGGTTACTCACTCACCTGTCCTGGAAACGGAATATTTCTTGAAGTGCTAATTTTCTCTCAGAGATTAAGGGTGTGTTTGGATGAAACCAAACCGTGGTTTGGAAAAGTGATTCTGGAGAATAGATTCTGGAAAAAATAGATTCTGTGAAGAATAGATTTTGTAAAAAAGTGATTCTGAGAAGTGAGAGTGTTTGGATAGTTGTTATCAGAAACACTTTTTATATATACAAATTACTAAAAAAAGACATAAGTTAATATGATAATTACAGAAAAAATAGATTTTATGATATATTTTAATTTGAAGAAATAAAATTGTTAATAATATGTTTTTTACCAACATAATTAATAATACATAAGATAATATAATTAATAAATAATTAATGTCTATATATATTTATAAAAAAATATGTTTATAAAAAAAATAACAAGATACATATCATATAGGCCCTCACACTCTCTCTTTTTTCTCCAAAAGCAAAAAAATTTTGCTTTTTCCAAAACCATGGTTTTGGAGTCAAAACCATGGTTTTGACCCAAAACCATGATTTTGGTTTTTGGAGAGGCTGTTTGGGTAGCATTTTCCCCAAACCATGGTTTGGGTCTCCAAACCATGGTTTGGAGTGCTATCCAAACAGAACCTAAGAATTTGTGAACTCTCTATTGAAAACATAATGCATTGATTAAAGTTAACAAATGAGATAATCAGAGCCAAAGAAGATTAATTAAAATGCAACGATCCAGCTGGTTTGATCTGATGCCATCAAAAAATTCTTCCAAATTGAACAAAACAAGCAACATATGATAGAATATATTGACAGAGCACCGCAGGCTAGATTAGACCAATATTTTTGGAGCATTAAATTTTGAATGATATGAGTTCGAATTATATTCATACGTACATAGAATCACATTCATGAAACGCCAGAAAATAAATTACAGGGAAATTAAAGAAAAAAACCAAATGCACGAACTAAAGTAAAAGATTACGATTCATGATCCGAATTCTGGATTTTTTTAAAAAAAAAACCCAGAATTCAAATCCAGAGCCAATAGTGTTTGATAATATATATATATATATATATATATAAGAAAGACAGAGGAGTTAAGTACCTGGAAATTGAAGTGGATCTCCCTCCAATCCATTGGATTAAGAAAAACCGTAAAGGAAAAGGAAGAAGATGGGAAAATGAAGGGGAAAAATTAAAATTTAAGGCAGAAGATGAAAAAGAAAGAAAGAAATTAAAAAGGAGAATCTCTAGCAATTAGTGATTTGTTTTTGCAAGTGCATGCTCTTGTCCGAATGAGGTGGAGATTTTGGCGCTTCTTGTGATTAAAACGCCCTTCCAGTTTGAAATAATTACACGAGAAAACCAATAAGCGGTCAGACGATATGTTGAATTTCTCGCTGAGTACCGCCTAAGGACAAGCTTCGATTGTTGTCCCTCGTCATATTGCGCCACGTGGGTTGCTCCCCATTCCTCAAAATGGAGATGCTAGAAAGCATCATAATCATAATTTATAAGCACAGCCCAACTTGGGTCAAATTTTGTAAACATGACTCTTTTTCAGATAAGAACAAACAGATACTAGTTAAAATTAGTTAAAACAAATCCATGATGAGTAACTAAATACTCAACTGAAACTGGATAATCAACATGATTAAGCCATAAAAAACTGGATTAGTAATTTAGTAGTAAATCATGGGAAAAAATAAATCACACCAAGAACCAATTTAAACCTTAAACAATGAGAATAAAAAGTTCTCTAGTATTTGAAAGACTACGAGGACTTTTCTGTACATGATTGATTTTTTCATTAACCAGTTTTAAAACTTAATTCTTAGTGCTTCTAAAATGACATGGAACTACTGACAAAATTGGAAGACCAATCAAAATTAAACGTAGGATGTTTCTTAATTTAACCCCAAGTATTAAAAAAGTTAAAAAGAAAAAATGTCACCAGGGTTAATATCAGGGAAAATCCAACGCTGATTTTACTTAGATTTTAGAGGCTATAAAATGGTTTGCGTTAATCCTTTATTGATTTTTTTTTTTGGGGTACAATAATCCTTTATTGAATTAAAGTAAAAGATATCGTCGTGGGTGGCAACCCTATGAGCCTCACTCTGGTGTATAACTGGGGAGCTTGATGTTTTCTTAGTAAATAAGTGATAAAGATAGACTGGGAGCTGAGCCTTTTGTAGTTTTCTTTTGGGCCTTTAGCCCCGTTTTGCTATCCAGAATAAAGAAAATGTCTGGTCTTTTCGAAGCTTTTCGTGATAAAATTGGCAAATTTTTCACAAAACCAGAATCTCATCCTTTTTTTTTTTTTTTAATATTAAGAAGGCAAGTGTTACAATAAGCAGCTACCTACCCAATACAAGACGTCACAAGTTACTGGCCATGTTCCAGTCCCGAATCAAAATACCCCATACAAAATTGGGGATATCCTGTAGAATTACACAATCCTGTTGTATAAAGTGAGTCATCCTAGCTAAACTATCAGCACATCCGAGATTCTCCCTAAAGGAACTAGAATCTCATCCTAACAAAACCATAAATAATTTTCTCTGTTAAGTCTATATTTATTTTTCTTAGAACAAATTGCCAACTTCCAAAATGCCAAAAAACTGAAGCAAGAAAACACAGCAGTCAGTGACCTGTAACTCTAACTACACCAAGCATCCTTCACAATGCTTTTTTATGCACTGGGTTACAAGTTAGAATATTTGGTTGAGGATATAAAATATAATAGATGAGTTATGGGGAAAAAAAGACTAAACGGCACTATTATTAATCTTACAATACTATAAACAAAACTTGGCATATTTGTGACTAACGGCTACTCCCATACATTTTGGAAAATCAAAATTCTGTCCCCACATTTTCAACTCATTTTCAAATTAGTCCCCCCAGTTTGTTTTCTGTAATTCACTCCTGAAATAATAACCACCATTACTGTGCGGGTCCCGACACAAGGCAAACACGCTCTTATTCATCGCCAGAAGACAATTTCTGCTTCTTCCATTTATAGGCAGCTTCCAATATTTTGAGATTCGTAGTCTGGGCTTCATCCGGGAAAATGTAGTCAATGTATTCTTCAAACCTGCCAAATAAAATTTTGATCAGCAGAATGAATTGGAAAAACAAATAAAAGCCTGAATAACTGGATAAAACAAACTATAAAATATTAACAGAATTTTACAATTAGTGGACTTTTTCACCGAAAACAGGGAAAAACAGCGGACTTAGCAACATGCAGAGTGCAGCTAATTTTGTCACCCATTGTGATACCACTAAACGGTGTGACACAACCCATCAGAAATATTAACACACTTAAAGATCAGGAGCTTCTCAATTTTTAACATATGAATCCGATCTGTATGGCGCCTGCTCCCCGCATCAAACTCAATCCAACTAAGCTAGATATTAACGAATCAAGTACCCTCACAAAGCGGTTTTGCAACAGTTAAAACTCATGGACATCTAACGCAACATGGCTTAATATCTGCTGCTAGTAGGGATGCTAATCTCTTACAGTCAAACATGGGGTTAGTTACATACCCTGCAGGACCATCCTCAGTTGCTATTGGCCTTCTCTTCTTGAGTTTCTTGGGCAATTTAGACTGGACTAAACTAACATCACCTAGCTCACCAAAAGAGACTTCCATATTGAGCCACTCCTCCAATAGCATCGCCCTTTCTTCTTTCAATTCAGGAGCTGATGATCTGAAGTAGGTGAGAGCTTTCTCAAACACTCCTAAAAGTAGATGCAAGCAAGAGATTAGAGAGAATTAAAATATGCTGGTTTCACCTCAGAGGGGAAAAAAAAAAAAACAAAGATATTCAGACACGACATCATAACGTGAGTGGGATCACATACTTCTAGCATGCTGAATGCATTGCTTCTTTTGCTCGGATTGGACATCATTTGCCATGTCTTGAATCTGGCCATCCTCATCCATAGCTGATGCCTCAAACTTCGCATAGCTTATCCATACCTTCAAATGCTTTGTTCGATCAAGGAGCCTTTCATAAAGAGCTCTGGTTCTCTCAAATTCACCCTCAGCAATCTCAAAGTCAATGTATGCCTGTTTTGCAAACAAAAATATCTAGTTATATGATGGCCACTAAAAAGAATGACTGAGGCAGAGAGAAATGGGGGAAAAGCCTGAAAACCATGAAAGGTTAACCACCGGCCAGTAATGAATTGGTGAATCTGTGCACAGGACCAAAAAAGAATAGTAGAAAATACTTAAGGGAAACCACACTACCACAGTTACAACATAATGTAGCCATTTTGCCAGGCCACTTTCTGATTTAGATGTACAGACCTAAGCTGAGGAGAAAAATTATCGACCTAGATCATATATGACGATTAAATGCAAGTGAGACTTGACATTGACACGGGAAAAATATATCAATATATACCTTCCATAATAGCTCAGGCATATCCAATGCTGGTTGAGCAATCGCCAGCTCAAAGATTCCTCTAGCCCTATCAGTCTCACATAAGGATCTTTCTAATTCTGCATATTTGCTCCAGGCATAGCAGTTTTCTGGTGACCACTCCAGATACTTCTCATACAACTTCCTACACCGATCAATATTGCCAAGCTGCAGTTCTATCTCTATATACTTCTTAAAAATCTGTCGTCAAGCCAGCAGAGCTGTGTGAAAAAGATGACAAAGGACAAATTATAATTAAAATATAAGATTACATTTTGCATTCATTTAAATATTACCTTATCTTTAGGAGCTATTCCAATAGCACTTCCCAATATTTTACGAGCAGCTGTGAGATTCAGCTGACGGATTTCAAATTGGGCCGCTAGAAGCCAAATCTTTGCAAATGAGAATTTATGGTGAGGAATGAGTTTGATACACTCCCTGTAAACAAAATGAATCCATATGAAATATCAATAGCATCAATCGGATGAATTTTAAAGCAAATACAATAAATTCATCAGTCAGGGAAAAGAACAATAAAGTAATTCTAAAATCGCTAATATACTTATGGCTGCCCAATAACTCAGCAGATGCCCACTTTAATTCACAGATGAATCTAGAATTCACTGAATTAACAAGAAAAATATGTTTATGAGTCAATCCCGCCAGTGTTTAGCATATGCCCTTTCAGATTACGTTATAATTACTCATGTTGTAAGGTACAGCTAAAATCCAATGTTTATATTAATTCCAACACCTAATACTAAAACATACCTGTATACATCTCTTGTTCGCTCCATATCTCCAGCATCAAGCTCTTCGTACAGCGCATAATTAATCCTAAGTTACAAATAGATAAATAACGATTACCAGGGAGGAAAGTAAAACAATACAAAACACATAGGAAAAAGGACATTCAAATCTAACTTACCACAAATAGATATAACGTTGCCAGTACCGCTTCTCCTCAGCTGGAGGAATATTGGCTATAGCTCTCTCGTATACTTCCCTTATTCTTTCTTTATTCCCCACACTTTCTTCCAATCTTATGTAGTCAAACCAGCAATCATAGTTCAAGGGATTTTTTCTCACTTCATCCTCATACTGAAACCTTCTCTTCCCAACAATGGCATCCTCAATCCCTTCCCTGTCCCCATACTGCTTTTCAAAGGCCACAAACTTCTTGTATAAATCTTCAGCCCTTCCTTTAGGAATATGATCAAGGGAAAATTTATAGATACACCTTGCACGCTCTGTTTCTTTACATCTTTCCTCAAACTCAGCAAATGCAACAAAAAGCTGCTCTGCTTCCTCATCATCAGCCAGCTTCTCCACTGCCCTCTCATAAACATTTCTAGCTTTCGGTACCTCTCCATTCTTCATCTCGAACTTGGCATATCGTATCCAAGCACCAACCTTTGGGTGGCACTGTACAAATCGTTCAAATATTCCTCTAGCCCGCTCAATTTCATTATATCTGAGCTCAAACTTGATGTAGGAGAGCCACCCCTGCTGGTCAGGCATCCAACTCATCCACCTCTCAAAAACCTGTCTTGCACCTGCCACATTGCCAAGCATCTCCTCCATGTGAATATATTTGTACCATAGTTGATCAACTCTTGGCAAAAGAGTAACTGCCCGGTCCCAAACATTCCTGGCATGGTTTATGAACTTGTTCTTCATCTCTACCTCGGCATATTTGAGCCACAATGTGTGGTTCTTGTAATCCACCTCTAGGGCTCTTTCCCAAACAGAACGAGCACGATTGAAGTCCTTTTGTGATTCTTCCCATTGAGCATACTTGATCCAGACACTTGTGTTCCATCTAACCCGTCTGATTAAGTCCTCAAACTCTTTCCGCTTTCGTAGACGATACTCAGCAAGTTCAGTGTGATCAGTAATCTTTTGCTTAGGAGGACGGATCTCAGCCTCCTGCCGCTCTCGAGCCTCACGAAGAATTTGCTCTGCTGTGATTTGTACAGGAGCTGGGGTTTTGTTCTTGACTCTGGTAGGACGAGGCAGCTTTACCTCAGTGTCCTTCCGAGTTAGGTACCCCAGGGTTGGGTCAGCATCTTTGGCTGAAGACATGGTCAAAAGAAAGAACAGATCCTGTTTGGAGAAGAAAATTTTAACCAGGAGCCAAAGAGAACAAATATAAGCACATCACTGAAAGGTTGGATGAAAGAGGAGATTTAGGTGTATGGAATCCGAACCTTAAATACAAGAATTTCGCCTTCCAATGAACTCCAACCCACCCGAAGAGACTCGGCGAGCTTCACCTAAAGGAGAAGACGGAAGAGGAAGAGATGAGCGGAAGCGGAAGCAAAACAAGCAAATTTTAGGGATCGATTTCAGGCTTTCAGCCTTCCGTTTGCGTTTCGGTTTTAGGGTGTGTTTGGATGACTTCAAACTGTGGTTTGGAAAAGTGATTCTGGAGAATAGATTCTGTGGAGAATAGATTCTGTGGAGAATAGATTCTGAGAAAAAGTGATTCTGAGAAGTGAGAGTGTTTGGATAGTTATTACCAGAAGTGCTTTTGACATGTGGAAATGACCAAAAAGGGTATAAGTTAATATGATAATTATATAAGGGATAGATTTTATGATTTATTTTGATTTGAAGAAATAAAATTGTTAATGAAATAATTTTTACTAACATAATTAATAATATATAAGATAATATAATTAATACATAATTAATATGTGTACATATATTTATAAAACATAATATTAAATGTTTATAGAAAAATGATTTTTTTTAGAACAGAAAAATATTAATTTTGTTTAAAGATTGTAAACGTGAAATCCCATAACATTTTTTCATAACTACATGTATAATAACCTCTGATGTTTAATACAATTAATTAATTAATTGTCACCACACATATATATTCATAAAATATAAGAGTGAAAAATATTTTTAGAGAAGATGAATTATTTTGTTGCAAAATAGAATAAACACGTCTTAAAATAATTTATTAATTATTCAAGTAAGTAATAATTAGCTTGAGAATATAAGGCATAATATTAATAAGAGAAATATAAATAAAGAAGTGTCATAATCATTAAGATGATGCATCGATACAAAGCATTTGTAATAGGTTTTGTTTTTAACTACATATTACAATCTATGATAAAAGGAAATAAATAAGACATGACTACTATCCTCGTATTGAATTAACAAGTTCGTCTCTTATGCTGTCACGAACCTGAGCCATGTAAGATGAAGATTGAATTGATGAATGTATACGTGAAAATCTAACCCCATCATCATCATCTTCTGCATAAGTACCTTCTTCTTCCAACTGAACGAATCCAGGATCAGTAATAGATGTCATTCTAATAAAATTATGTATAGCCATCGTTGCACAAACGATTTTAACTTGTGTTTCAAAATCATAAGATGGCATGTTTTGTAAGATTGCGAACTTTTTTTTCCAAACTCCGAAAGTTCTTTCAATTGTACTCCTTAAACTTGAATGGAAATAATTAAAGATTTCATTGTCATTTTCAAACCCAGATGTCCTTCGAAAATCAGGCAAATGGTAACGCTCCCGTCTGTATGGGCCGAGATATCCATTCGGTGTTGGGTATCCAGCATCCACCAAATAATATTTTCCTATATAAAAAATGAAATTATTGTAAATTATGTTTCTATTGTTAAGCTAAATATAAAAAAAAATATAGGAAATAAAAAAATACCTTCAGGTGGATGGGGAAAGTTCATTGAAGGAGTTGTGAGGGCATGATCAAATATCCGAGCATCATGTGCGCTACCTTCCCATCCGGCCAAGACAAAAGTAAAACACATGTCCCAATCACAAACCGCCATGACATTTTGTGACACTGTTCCTTTCCTAGAGATAAATTTAGTTTGATCTGTTGCACTGACAACGCAGGAAACATGTGTGCCATCAATTGCTCCAATAGCATGTTTAAAAAAAGGCCAGTATTTACCAAACCGAATTTTTGTATGAACATGCCGGAATGTTGGATCTTTTGGTTTGATATTAGACATGGCAAGTCTACAGCATGCCATTAGGACATTATGAAAATGTCTGCTAATTGTCTCCCCTGAATGTTGAAATCTTTCTTGCTGCATTCTGCTACTAAGTGCATGTCCAACGGTATGTAAAAACATTGCAACTGATTCATGTATCCCTATATTTTTAGTTTCTTTTAGACCATGTTGTTGCAATTGTTCCACCAGACTTAAGAACACATCCCGTTCCATCCTAAACATGTTATAACAACGACTGGAGTTGCCATCTAAAACATCCCTTACCCATATGCAGCCTGTATAAGCACTTGTATGCTGAGGCTCCTTACACAAGTTCAAAGTAGCGTATGCACCAACCAATGCTGCAACTTTGTTAACTCTTTTTTTCCGTCCCTTAGCATGCTCTTCCACATGTTTAATTTCATCATCCATATTCGTTTTATCCTGTGCACATACACATAAAGTTTAGAATTCCTACGTAGAAATTACGAAACATTTATAAAAGTTACAGAGTTGTCTGATTCATATAACAATCCACTGGTCACATAAAACATACACATATGGAACTGTCTAATATAATAAACAAGTCATAAATCCCTAGTAAAATGCTCTAAAATGAGTAGAAGCTGTTCCTTCTGATCCTTCAGAGCTGCATACATTTCTCGTGCATCCTGCCGTTCCATAAGGAGTTGTGTGCACCGTCTAAAGAAATCAGGATCACTGACAACTTCAGGAACTGTTTTCAGGTGAGACAGGACTCCCCTAATTGAAACCTCATAAGCACGCGCTTCTTCTTCCAACCTTCTAGCTTCTGCTCGTGAAATGACCTCATTTCCACGCTCGGCCTCAGAAGTATTTGTTTCAGCAATCTTGCTAATTGCATCCGCTATTTTCATAGAGGGAGATGTGCGTTTCTTCTTGACTTCACTCTTCCTTCTGACCCCCAGTGAGCTACTAGGTCGACTCCTACCTCTGCTTGTACCCCCACCACTGGTATCCTGCCTCAATTCAGTGTTGCCTCCACTACCTCCACTATTATCATTGAAGTTCACTGTGTTAAATTCCCCACTTATACCAGTTGGTGCACCTAAAATTTCATCACTATCTCCGGACCCTTCTTCCAAATCTTCATTCGGTGTTCCTTCACTTGGAAGTGTCATGGAAGAAGGTGCCCATGCTTGTGGTCCAGTTGCAGCCACACTTCCAAATAGTTGCGTCAATTCATCCCTAAATTGAAGTCCTCTTTCTCTGAATTTTTCGTAGTTTGGAACTTCCTGCACATTAGACACCAATAATATCATAAAATATTCCAAAAACAGTAAATATACACAAAGCATTAACAAGTAGAGAAAATGTAAGATCAAAAGGTTCAATAATTACCCTTATTTTTCTCTCCCACCAATCATCAGTTGCACTGACAGTATTCCTTTCAGTATCCCATCCCAATCCTGTCTCACGAAGCAGCCTATCCCATGTCTGCCACTCCTTTCGTAGGGAATCATATTTATTCTTAAATTGACCTTTTTCATACACTCTTCCAGTTTTGGCAGTAAAGTTATCACCAAGAATATCCCAAGCTTTCTTTGTTAAGCTAGTACCTTTTCTTTCCCCTTGTTGCACAAGTTCAATGCAGAGGTCAATAAACACTTTTGTAGTTCGTAGGTCCCAGGAAGCTTTCACCGTATTCTTACGCATTATGCTATAGCACAATTATAACTCTTCAGTCATCCCAGGTTAATCAACTCAAAATCAATTGAAATAACAAAAATCATATTGTCTACTGTAATAGGTGAAAAAGTTGATCACATTTTAAATCTCAATTCCTTCCTACCAAACCAAGTGTGACAAAAATTAACAAACACAAAAAATTTCTAATTTTACATGGTTGGAAAAAATACACCCCCTCCTTTCTAAACTTCATTATTTGTTTTTACTTCAAAATACTAAAAATTTTAAAACGTCCAAAATAACATGTTAATTAAATAACATTATAAAGCACATTATTGTTTTTACAAAATAACATGTTGCACAAGCCTTTCATAATATTTTTTAAAAATTATATCCTTATCAGATTTGTCAACCGAAAATAAAAAAAACTACCAACATAAACCTCTGACCAAAATACAAATCACTTCCTTCAATATATATACATGGATTTCAGTTGTGATTTCATTTTTCCTCACTCTCAAAAGTTGGCCATAAATTTATCAAAATCCTTAATACAACAATACAGAACAATACAATTCTTATCTCATCCCAAATCAGATCAACTCTTAACAAATAATGTTCATTATCACAAGTACTATCCACGGCAAAAAAAAAAAAACCAAAGTCTCGACTTCACAGCTTCTTCTCCGGGGGAAATCTGGACTACAGCAGGAAAAACAAATTGCATTGAATTTATATAACAATTGCCAGACTTTCTCATCCATATACGTCCCCTGCCTCCAGAACCAGACATTGATTACCATAATTTGTTCCCTCTTTGTTTCATAAAATCAGAACCAATTTACCAAACGAACATACCATTTATAATCCCCAGCACATGAAGCTCAATTAAAGAAATCCAAAAACACCATAAACCCCGAAACAATCCATGGCAAAAACGAACAAGATCTTCGGCAATAACCATTGATCAAAATCTGCCGAATGACGCACAGGAAGACCAAGGAATATCCAGACAACAATTATACATCGCTTGGATCCACTAGGCATACAAAGCTGAAATCGAAGGCCACGGTTGAAAAATAGAACCGAGAGGAAGCTTGCAATTGAAGAGGATATACAGCCAAATCATTCCAATTCAACATACCACAATCAAAAAACTAATAGCCACGGTTGAAAAAAAATTCATATCACTTCCGGATGACAGACCGAAAATAGAGGAGGGACCGAATCAGAACCACCGAACCAGAATCATAAGCAAGAAGCTGATAGATCAATGAATGGAGGAAATACGAACAGAATTTTGGGCAATCACCAGAGAGAGCTCACCGGCCGAACTGAAGAACGAAGATTGGAGACAGAGGATGGATGGATCGGAGCTTCCTTTGGTTTTGGCGAGCCGAGAAACGCACGACCACCCCTGTTTTCGCGAGGCCAGGACGATCTCACCGGTGTCGAGTTTCAGAGCAGCGACGGCGAACACTCGAGCTGGCGATGAAGCACGGCCGAAGACGCGACCCGATGATGAAGCGGCGAAGAGACGAGCTGATGATAAGGGCCGAAGGGTCGAGCTTCGAGCTGAGTCCGATCGTTCGGCGAAGAGGAGGAGTGTCGGCCAGCGAAGAAGAGAGGGATCTGGGAAATTGCCTACCGGAGCCGTTGCTGAGGGTCGACCTTGAGCTGAGAGCAATGGTCGAGCTGAGGAGCAAGCACAGTGTGTCGAGCTGAGGAGCTGGTCGAGCTGAGGAGCAAGCACAGTGTGTCGAGCGGAGGAGCTGGTCGAGCTGAAGAGAAGAGTGTCGGCCAGCGAAGAGAAGAGAAGGATGTCGAATTCAAAGTGTCGGCCAGCTCGAGAACTCTGGGGTGTTTTTGGAATCACCAGTAGGCGTGCCCGATTTTTTCCCACAAGCGACAATTTCCAGCTTCTGGTGAAACCATGGTTTCACCTGAAACCAAGGTTTACAATATTTTGGGGCCTGTTTGGGTAGCATTTTCCCCAAACCATGGTTTGGGCCCCCAAACCATGGTTTGGGGTGCTACCCAAACAGGCCCTTAGCCCTTTCTGTTTAACGGGTTGATTGAAATACTATCAAATATGAAAAATATGAACCCTCAATATTAAAAATTCATATGATGACAAAAGAAAGACTAAAAATTCATCTGAAAATTAATACAGGTATTGTTCAGTGTTAAATGTTAAATATATCACTTTAAATTATGATATTTTGTATTTATTAAAAAAATATATTCTTAGAGAAAATAAAATTATCTAGTTTATATTTTCTCTATTTAATATATTATTTTTTCAACCATAATATTAATTACAAATTGATCAGAATATTATTAGAAAATGATTAAAACAAATATAGGTATAAAAAAAAAATTTTAGGTAGATCGTGTTTTCTGAAATTTTATTTTTTATATTTATTAAATATACTCTTTCAAAGTCAAAATGTAAGACTCATTATATAATATAAATTATACTAAAAAAATAGCTTTTACATTTAGAACTGAAGAGTATATACATATTTTTATAAATAAAAATAATTTAAATTAAAAGGTACCATGATATATATAATTGCATAAAAATTGAGGTTTAAAGTGTAAATCATTTTTTAAATTTAAAAGTCATTTAAATTTGTTTGGATCTGAAATTTTTAAATAAATGTTATAAAATAATACTCACTCACGCTTTAATATTTTGATCTTAAAACATTCTGATATCAACTATTTGATGAGATAAGCTTAAATAGATTAATAACTAGCGAAAAAAATTAATGGATAACTAAAACTTCCTATTTTCTTAAAATGCATAAAATTGAATAAAAATAAAATTTTAAGACAAAAATAATGAATAATATGGTGACGCCAATTACTACTAGTTCAGGGCCCATTGGTAACAGAATAAGACGATGTTCTTCATGAATATAGGAAACTACTCCTCCAATTTTTAATATAAGACCCATTTAACTAATTTGATTAGATTAAAAAAGTTAGGTAAGTTAGCTAATTATAAGAAATGTGACATGTTTTTCTTAAAACACCATAATTATCTTTCTTAATACCCTTCTCTCTCTTTTATTTGATTATAGTTGAAGGAATATCTATAGGGGTAATTTAGAGAAAATTGACAAATATAAAAAATTGGTCTTATATTTAGAATCAAAACTAACTCAATAATTAGGTCTTCTATTAAGTACGGAGGAGTATCTTTTACATATTTATATATACAGACATAGATATAGATAACCTAGGAAACCATCTTTTTAAAGTGTTACTTGTTATAAATTTAAATAATCTCTTATATGGCATCTGAACAACGTTATAATTTGTCAACCCAATAGCGTGTCGCTTTCCTTGTATCAAGAAACTTGATCTAGGCAAAAGGTTATCTTTTGAAACTTCTTGATCTATCCCTAACTTATAATTTAATTTGCTCACAATGAGAAAAATCTGACTCAATTTTCTATCTCCTGTGTGCATAAACACATGATTGGAGAAGATTAAATTTAGAATACATGCTAAGTACGAAATGATCTATAAACTGAAAAGTAAAAACTGAGAAAAGATAAGTGAGATGATAGTCAAAATTAATCTGAGATGTGACCACTTCTTTGCGTATATGAACTTAAAGGGCTTAATTTCAATGGAGACAAGCTCGCTCTTTTCATGTTTAAACTTTTCTGAGATTGAGAGATGTGACCATAGGCTCTTCCATATGAGTTTAAAGGGCTCATCGCAAATGGAGATATTCTTCCAGCTCTGTCCATCCTGTAAGCAAGATCATGATTCGAGACCTGACAACCTCTTCGCGAGCATGTGTTGAAACTGAAAGGACTCATCGCATAAGGTGACATATTTCCTCTCGTCATCTTCAAATCGGAATGTCTTAATGTTCTTGTGCTCGCCGTTAATGGTGATTCATTCTCTTTTCTCATCTTCAAACCTCTCTTAGAAACCAAGGCATGACTATTTCTTATCAGTGGTGACTCATACCCTTTCTTTATATGTGGGCTGCTCTTGGAATTGGAGACATGCCCACGTCTTGTTAATGGTGACTCATTGCCGGTTTTCGTCTTTGACATGCTCTTAGGACTAGCGACTTGCCCATGTTTGATTCTTCTAACAGAACTTGAGGTTTTTGTCAATGGTGTTGATTTACTCCCTTTGTTGTTCTTGAAGTCTGGAACCTGGGCAGTCCTTCTTCCCATGCTTGATGGCAATTGGCTCCCTCTCTTCATCCGTGAATTGTGGTTAGGTTGATTCGTTGCTAAGGATCTTGATGGCTGTGACCTAAATGTTACTATTCAAACCACATTTACACCAATAAGTTCTTTGTCATCAGTAAAAGCATAACATAAAGTTAGAAACACAATACAACTTGGGAACACGAGAATATGATATCTCAGTTGTTTTAACAGAATTGTTGAGTTCAAACACTTGATTAAGATGGAAGGAAGGAATTATTCACCGGCTAACCTTGATCTTTCTTGGTTTCATCTTCTGTTTGATGTTTTATTCTTGCAGATTTCTTGACCTGCACCTCTGAACACATAGATTGTGAGTCAGAAGAAGATGACTTCATGTCAGTTGCAAGAGGGCCTGGATCTTCCAATGTGGAGGCATTGTCATCCCTAGAGGCTTTCTTTTGGACATCACTATCATTTTCTTCCTTACAGATTGAGCTGCCCAAGGGCTCAGAGCTATTATCTCTAGTCATGCTTGCATTAGTCTTCTCTTTCTCAACAATCTTATAAGCAAACATTTCATAAGGGATTTGAGATACGCTAGGTAAACGAGATAACTTCTCTGTTTGGATGTTCTTCAGGAAAAATGCTTCTATGTCACAGTAATCCACTGGTGGGCACGTCAATTCAAGCTGGTTCAGTTCAGGATTGATGATAAGAAACTCAGTATTGATGGCTAGGAATTTCTTTATGGAGCGTAAGATCCTACAAATAGAGGAGAAAGTAGGACGTAGGCTTGGGTCAGTTTGCCAGCACTTCTTAATTAAGTTAACAACATATTTTGGCGAAGGGTACGGGAAGAGTGGCCTTTCCCCTTCTTTTATATTTCGGCTTGATCCATCTCCTTCAAAAGGCACTTTTCCTGTCAACAACTGAAAGCACACCATGCTGAAACTGTAGACGTCTGCTTTCTCAGAGTACTTACAGCTAGAGTTAGACGCTTTAGTCTTATTACATTCTAGCTCAATTAGAACTTCAGGGGCATAATACCAAATGCAAGGATTGATCTCCTCTTCAGGGGGATTTTGGCATGGTGAGGTTCGACTAAGAGCAGTATCCTTATTGATCGTCATGGATGAACCAAAGCCTGTTACTTTTACTTGAAAATAGCCTTCTTGGGAATTCCATGGCTTGAGCCAGATATTGCAAGGATTAAGATCTCCATGATATATGTTTTTGGAGTGAAGGTACTCCATGCCTCTTGCTATTTGAAGCATAATATCTACCACTACAGGGATAGAGAACAAGATCTGTCTCCTTGGACCATAGTTGTCCCTTATGTAGCTATCAAGATCCTTATTCATTAACTCCATCACAAGAAAGAATTCCTTTTTCTCCTCATCATGAAACCCACAAAGATGTTGCACTATGTTGGGGTGAGACAATGATAACAGAGTATAAATCTCTACTTCTGACATTTGCATCCCCCCATTCACATGTCTCAAGGCAAAGCTTTGTCCCATCCATTGAATCTCCTTAAACTCTCTTCCCTGCCCCAATCTTCGTCTCACTTGGTAATCCTTCGACCCCAACAGGACTGAACAGGGGAAAAGTTTTTTGTTCAATTTCTCAGGTCCATTTAGCAGTTTCTTGATTAACATATTAGCAAGGCGATGCTCGTTCTTCGTCAAAGCAAGTCCAGTAGAGGTCTTCTTCTCCTTCAGTGATTCTATGAGTCTCCATTGATCTTCCCTCCAAGCATTCTCCAACTGTTTGCTAATTTCACGAGAGACCAAATACTGCTTTCCGAATCTCCATTGAAAAAGCTTAGGGTCATTCCATTCTCTATCATACTTCCTCGTTAACATAACTTTCTTCTTTGTCATCTCATCGTGGTTGTGTCCAGCCACCTCTCCAGCAATTTCAATAGCTTCAATAACAGCAGGGAAATAACAAAACAAGTTGTGTATGTGAAACTCAACACAGTCATTGTTTTGATGAAGTGAGATGACTTTGGTCCACCAATCTTTAGAGTCCAAGCATTGCCTGATGTAAAGTTCACCGTCTTTAAACACCCTACACAGTTCTCTCATAGGATATTCAAGGGGTTTCCATTTGGTGTTCCTCTCTTCCAGCATAAGGTTCTGCTTGATCTCTTCTGCGATGGTTTCAAATGCCAGATCGAAGATATTAAGGATCAAACAACATTGACTTTGGTTGATTTGAATCTCATCTCGCAAAACCATTAGAGCCTTCAAACTTCCAACGACCTCTCCTATTCGTCGGAATTGTTCCATTCCGGCTCAAGCTCCTCAATTACGATTGTGGCCACCCCTTGCTGTTGATGAATTGAATATCAAATACGGCAGAACCTTAAATAGGTCACCACCTGTGTTACACAGACAATAACCACATTCTATAAACAATGAGGAATGAAACTAAATTTCAAACCAAGTCACATGATTAAATCATAGGAGTGCAGCAAAATATACACTTTATGCAGCATGTTCATTAATCAAAATAGACTTGAAACAACAATATATAAGCAACGTTTATTTTGGAGTGCTGAAAAGTTGAAGACTTGAATTAATCTATGTAGCAAGGGAGTGAATTTAGAAAGAAAAATGAAAGTGAACCTACCGTGAGAATCCTTTTAATTAGCAATATAACCGATTCATTGAAGCCTGAACGAGTCTCGAAAAGGCCATTCTTAAATGTGACCAGGGGAAATTATAAGGCGAAATAAGATTAAACAAACAACAAAAAGCTGTAAGAAGAAGGCTCACCCCTGGAGAGACAAGAATGCGAACGTGGGATCTTAAGTTTTATAGGTAGAAATGAAGATGTTGGGGTTTGAAGGGGAAAAGTAGAGGAAGAGCTAACTGCTTGAGACAGAGAAGGAAAAAAACTGATAAAAGGAAGAGTTAAGACGAAGGGACAAACGTAAAGTACGAGGCAGTTACGTAAGATAGGGGTGCACGCAGGTGTAATATCAAGGAAGATGATGATGAAACAGTTCCTGATTTCTCGAAAGTTTTGTTCGTTTAATTTGTTCCCATCGATAATCAGCTTTAAATATAATGACTCAAACTTCGTGTTGTTGGAAGCTTGTGTTTATATATGTTCCGGCCAGTTTCCGTTATCACCATTGTAAAACCTATCCGATTGCTTCACCATTTTCAGCAAATTTATTTCAAATCTTAGCTGGCTTTGCCCATGAAATAGACTTTGATAATCCATCCAACAAGTTTTCTAGGTTCTTCAAGTCAAACAAAACCTTCTAAGCTGAACGTAACAGATTAATAATTAATGATAAATATGTTCTCTAAAATAGTAAATGAAATATCAATGTCTCAGACCTCAGCTGTCTTTTACGTATAAAAGATGGACTCGGTTGAAGCTAACCACTATTAACGCCTTAACCGGCGTTTGCTTGGTGCTTGTATATGCATTGAACAGTGTAAAATCTTAAGTATTGGTCTTCTTTCAATTTCAAGATTAATCACACAAAATATTTTGCCGATCTTAAAAAAATTCTTAAATTTCACGATTCGATGATTCGATATCTTGTCTACTTTCGTTTTACGTTATATATTTTGTAAGGAGTAAATAAATGGGGACCAAATGTTTGAATAGACTTCCTAGTTCAATAAAAAAGAAATTGACTTTGGATGTAACTTGAAATAGGTCTCGTGCAAGGAGCCTGAAATTGGATTTTACTCTCAAATTTTACTTCACATTATGGGCACCAGTATTTCATGAACTATTGGTCAGCCATTTTTCAATTAAGTTTGCATTTGAATTTTTTTATTAATATTTTATCAAACACGTTTTTACCAAAAAAATCAAATACTTTTTTTAACACAGCATCATGAAAGTGGACTGGTAGTTATTTTTTATTCCTTTTCAATAGAATGAACAGAGAACACGATTAACAAGCAGAAATCAAAATGCGCAAAAACTTCTTTTGTTTTTTTGGGGGAAAGAAAGAGGTGCAAGTCACAAGCCATCAATATATAAAGCTTTCTGGGTCAGATCAAGCAAGGGCCTCTGAAGCTTTCGAGCCAAGACTTTGGGATCTCGAGTATCCTAAAGTAGTCTTCCAAACTAAGCCCACAAAACAATTGAACTGAGGATTCAACTACTTGGGTCTTTTTGGGCCCAGATCGAGCATTGTTTTAAAAAAAAGTGGTGGATGTTAGGTTGTTATTCGTTGGCGACAAAAAACGGGGACACAAAGCCAGAAGTGCGTAAAGATGTGCGGTGGCGTTCGTTGGCATTTCCTAACTCAACTTCCATATTTAAATGTCCATCCGCAGTTCCGCACAATCGACCGCGCAACACCAAAGCCTTTCTAGGTTTCTTTTTGGAATACACACACATATATATATTGAAAAAACAGATAATAATATGGTAATAAGATAAAAGGGAGGGAGGGGGGAGCGAGCATATATAAAAAAAAAAAAAATTGCATATCGCTACGAATTTTAATGTAAGTAACATTTTTTAATATAATCATCACATTATATGATGATATAATTATGTCTTTTAACGATTATTTGTAAATATAATTGATCTGTAGCATTTTTTTTTTACTTATTACGATGAATTTTATAAAAGAAACTTTAAATTTCACGGAAATCGAATCACAAAAAAAAAAAAAAAAGGAATCACATGGGGCAAGAGAAGCGGATGGGCCCCACAGGGGGTTTAGCGGTAACCGGTGATCCTGGTTGTGGCTCCCCACACTTTGCTCTGCCTCCAGCTCATCAATGGAGGCTTAAAATTGTGTTGTATGGTCGTCTTCTTCCTCCAAAAATTTCTCCTTCCCATACTCAAACATATCCTGAAATTCCATTGAACCGAACCACCCTCCTTCCTTGCTCTCTGCTTTCTTTCCTTTCTTTCTCTCTCCGCGACATTCCTCAGTTCTTCTGAGAGGCGTTGCAGAGAGAGACCCCCCACCCCTAAGTTCCCTCTTTCCCAGATTCCATATGGCGCCTTCCAAGTTTTCGTTCGGTGTTTTGACCATCCTCCCCGCTCTCATTCTCACCCTCATCATGCCCTCTGCTGTTCATGCTCAATCCCTTGCTCCCACCCCTGCCCCTACTAGCGACGGTAATCTCTCTCTTCATTCACTTCCTTAGATCTAATATGCGAACTTCTGTTTATGTTTTCTTTCCATTTGGATCTGACTCTGCCATCTGTTTTCCCCTCTTCATAGTTGAATTCCAGACAATGCATCTTCTAAATGTTTTCTTAATTTGATAAGTTGATACAAGTTTTTGTGTCTATCGTTTTTTGCACTGTCAGGGACAGCCATCGATCAAGGAATCGCATATGTGCTGATGTTTTTGGCATTGGCGCTCACCTATCTTATCCACTCGGCCGATCTCTCTAGCTTCTGAATTTCAAAATGGATAAGTTGATGGAGAATGCTACTTTCAGACTTGATTGTATTTGGCCTACACATTTTGAATCGGTGAATTTCTCACACGATTTCTTCAACAGCTACGTTTTTTCTTCCGTGTGGTCGAACTCACTGGTACTGTGATACCAGGCTTGTGCTTCCCTACTAATTTTTCATACTCAATTTTATGACTGTAGTAGACATTCATATTTTCCTGTAAACCATTACTCGAATTAGTATAATTATCTTGATTTGGCGTCATGAGCTTGTGGTAGATTCAGCAAGTAAATTTCCCAGAATCCAACAATAGGGCGATCATTTTGCATTTCTGGTAAATGTTGAAGCATGATATATAGAGAAGCTGGAAGCAAGGATCCCAGGACATTTTTTTTAATGCAAAAGCTCTAATGTATCATAATACTTTAGCTTCTGACCTTGCATCTAATATCCGAAAAGTTCATCAGAGAAATTGGGTGTCTAACCCCAAATTCTCCTATTAGTCAATAATGTCAGCACACAGGCTATGTGATTTAAATTATGTTTACCTTTTAATAGATAGGGCCTTGGACAACTGCAAGGTTGCAATCATAAGCCTAAATAATTTGCTAAAAGTAAAACCAACAAGATAATGATAACCTAAATTTGTTTACCTATCAGGACGGAAGTTGTGTATGAATTGTAATGCCCAGCCAGGCGCCAGCAATATATTACACAGAATGTCATAATTTGTAGTTTTGTACTCCATACCCAATGGTAAACTAAAAGGGATCAGCATTGTTACAAGTTGCAAGGAATGAATGATAATTTTCCTTCTGGTCATAATTTTTTTTTGGGATAATGTAAGGGATCTGAAGATTTTTTTTCTGGTAAAAAAAAAAAAAGGATGACATGTTTTTAGTGAAATGCAAAGTGCAAGTGCAAAGAATTACTTTTAACAAGAAAATTGTGTCCTACTTTACCAAAGCATAAATACTTTGTCGATTGACCAAAAACAAAAAAACCTGCGACACCGCAACAAGCCGTTGTTCTTTTATGGGCTATCAATTGACAAACGGGCCCTGAGGATCAAATTATGAGGAAAAACCAGACCTCCTTTTGCTTTAAATAACTAGGCCCAGTGCTAATGAATGACCCCAAATGGTTTCTGTACACCTTTTTTGACTTTTTTTGGGCCTGAAACTGTGCAGCTTTTTAATTATTGCATGATCCCCCCAAATAAAAAAAGCAACAGCACAAGCCGGCATAATCGAGGCTGCTTATGCAGGGTTAAAAAAGACGAAATGAACCAACAAAGGTTGGGTCTTGTAGAAAAAACTAGTTCCTTACAACATGATGAATCAATGTTTAAATCTCTGCTAAGAGAGGTGCTCTGTTAAGTGTCTGACAGTGTCCCAAACATGATTGTTTTTAATAGGAGGATACATATACCTACAAAAAAAAAAAGGGGACAAAATGAAAATACCCATTAGCAGTCATGAGATATCTCATACGAAGTCATACAGAATATTGTGTAGCATTAAAATAGAAGTATTATTTATTTCTTGTTTAAACCATTGTCCAAGTAGTGGAACGTTGGTTGCACCCAAACAGGGGGTTGCCCTGCTTCCTGTTACCTGTTACTGTCCTGTTCCTGAAAATAGCGTTGGAGTACTTGGCCTAGAAAAGGTTCGTGAACTCCTTTTTATGGTTCAAGTTATAGTTTAAACAAATTTTCTTGGATTGCTAGTGATTTATTAATCATTGGAGAATTTGGCAGGATGTTGACATGTTATGAAATCGCATAAAATCCAGGGCAAGTGTATTTGTGTGTGTCTAGTTGGCATTTTGTGAAAACCCAATACTTGGCGTCGCAGTTGGAAAAATAAGATTAGATCCTTACGGGGCTCTCCTATCCTCTTCAGCTAGATATTCCCGTCGCCTGCTTCGCTAGAGATTCAAAGCCGATGGTCCACCCCACTCGCCCCACTCTCCCCGAATAACTTTCTCTACCAAAATCAGGAAAAAACATAAAGAGGATATCTTTTCCCTTTTCTGATTCTTTCTCATACATTTTGTTCGCCAAGTAGAAAGCATAAAGTCTCAGGTATTATTCAAGATTAATTACGGGATAAATTGTTTATTGATGAGTTAATAGTCAATTGGCCACTATGCTCTCAGATGTGTCCCGCGCGTCCTCCAAAGCTTTGTCTTCACTTGGGTTGACGATATTTTCGCTCATCATAAAGCATTTTGCAAGAAATATCAACTATCCTAAAATGTTAAATGATACTACCTCCGGCCCTAATAATAAGAGTTAGTTGATTAATTTGAGGAGATTAAGAAAATATATTAAGTTAGTTATTTGTAATAAATAGGTATTATTTTTCTTAAAATATCCTTGCTAATCAAGTGTGTTGGTTACTTGGTTAGAACTCCAATTATTAGAAGGACTACGTTAGGAAAAAAAATACATAAATATTAGAGACAAAATGGATTGAAATCTTATATTTAAGACCAAAATAAAAGTCAAACAAGATCTTATATTAAAAACCGGAAGTAGTATAAATTGTTGCAATATTGCCCTTTGATTGGTGAATTTGATATTCTTGTTTTTTGTTTTTGTTATCAAAATTTGTTGTATCTTGTTTAAAGCGTCATGTGTTTTTGTCAGCCAGCTAATATTCATCAATTAAAAAACATATGAATATGAATTAATGATCAATTAATTAACAATACTGTTGTGTGAGTATATGGTGATTTGGTAGCTAGAAACTTGCCTAGTTTTTCTGAAAAGTATCTCAACATGTACGCGTGGTCAACATCTACACTTGTTTTTTGTGTTTTTTTTTAAAAAAAAGGATTTTTCATTAACGAATAGTTGACAAATCAAATGATATCCTAAATATGATGCAGCATATTTGGTTAGAGAAAATATTGTGAAGAGTTCCACTTCCACGTGATTAAAAATGTCAATTATGCTCTAATAAATTGTAGTACTTTATTATATCAATGTTCCTTCTCAGATAACGCATGGTTTCTCTGTAAACCAAATCCACCCCTGGGGGTATAACACTGTTACATATTAAGAGGATGTTTAGATAGAAATCAAACCATAATTTTAAATAGAGGTGTTTAAATTGTTCCGTCCTGATGGATCCGTCCCGGTCCCGATCACTTTGGAACGGGACAGGATACTGTTCGGGACGGGGTTGTCTCGTCCCAAGGTATATAATTTTAAAAATTTTTTTGCAAACATCACAAGTAAATAAAATACAAAGAATTTTGCGGATGCCCTAATCTATTATCATTTCAATCCATCTCCCTCTCAGTCTCGACTCCAGATCCTCACCTCCGTCGCTTCTCATTTCAAAGCAGCGGATGATAGTATCAGTGGAGGGAAGCCCTGTAATCCCGCTCTTAATTGAATGCCTAGACTCTCTCCGATGCCTTCATCTCTTACCTTTGCCAGTGCCGTCACTCATCCTCTTCACGCTCGCTCATTCCCTCCTAGGCTCTCACCTTCTCTCTTCCAGCACTGCCATTGTCGACCAGGTGTGTTTTGCTCTCCCTCTCCTCTATTCAAAAACCCATCTAGTCTGCACATATGAGTTCTTAAAATTGAAAGAGAAGCCATCGACTCATTGCTCAGAAGAACTCACTCGCGATTTCTTATGAAGGAATTTTCAGAGGGCGAAGTGGGTAGATAAAGAATGGTGGGATTGAAATAGTGAAGGAGAAAAGGTAAGTGCAATATGGTACCACCATTCTCCCCACGTCACGTTCGCTGCTCACTCTCCCGCCTGCCATCACGTCGCCATGAGGTAAGCTCACTCCTTTTACTGCCTTCACTCTGCTGTCTTTGTTCATCTCTAACTGCGTCTTCTCACCCTGTCTCTGCTATTAGAATTTTAGCATTTAATCTTTGCATCTTGAACCATCTGTGGCGTCTGTCTTAGCGTCAGGTTGAGGTCTTGCTAAATCAATTTTAATTAACAGAAGTGTCTAATTTGTTACAAATAATTATAAATATTGTCCATTTCCAAAGGTCCAAATTATTGTTTTTGACTCAAAGTAATCTGTAAGGCCTGAAAAAAAAAGAAATGAATTTAATCAAAATGACAAGCCCAATATTTTGACTGAAGGTCCAAAATTGAAGGGAGAAAAAAAAAAAAAGGGACGGGACGTCCCCGTCCCGTCTCGGTTTTGTCCTGGTCCCTCCCTTTCAGGACGAGACAGGACACGAGACAAAAATCCCGTCCCGTCACTGTTTACCGAGACGGGACCGGGACGGGGACCCATCCCGTGAACACTGCTAGTTTTAAAAGTATTTTTACGGTTTACAAAGTAAATATATGGAGGAGTTTATTTTATTTTACAAAAAAAAGGGCCCATCATTAGTAATTATTATTATTACCTTTCATCTTTAATATAACATTAGTTGAATTATTTGAATAGATTAAAAAAAATTGATTGTATTAGTTATTTATAATAAATATGTATTGTCTTCTTTAAAATACATTCGCTAATCATATATATTAACTAACATTACTACTTGATAAAATTTTTAACATGTACAATTATTTTAAAGATTATTTTAAAAAAATAAAATAAATTAAATGTTAAATTATTTTTTATGATTCTGCTAAAAAGTTGCCGTTATGAGTAGAGCCGGGTCCATGTACCCTGTAACGTAAACCTTCCTTCTGGAGTGTCAGCCAGTAGGGACGTTTTTGCTTTTTTTGACCAGCCAGTCAGTAGGGGACGTTAATGTGGCTCTGTAAGTCAGCAGGGAAAGGACACGTCAGAGAAGAGAGAGAGAGATATAGAGAAGGCAGATAAGCCGACGTGGCATATGTGGGGAACAATAAGGTACGTCTACCCTTACCTGAAGCGAAACGGAGGGAATGCTAACCTAACCAATGATGGGGGAGGGTGGGGCCACCATCACCATCATTCCACAGTACAGTGATGATTGAATCGGACGACACGTAGGGTCCCCCCCCGGCCCCTCATCCTGCGATAGTGCGATGCCCAGAAGCCGTAACCTCATGC